TTTGCTTCTCCTGGTGCTCTTTGTAGAGCCGACCCAGAAAGAGCCCCCCACGGGGAGGGATGCTGGGATCATGCCGCCAGGGGGCTGGGATTGGGGGCTGCTGGGATTCTTGTTGGAGCCTTCTGTGTGGTCGGAAGGAGTACCTGACGCCGGAACTGCTTGTGCAAAAAGGAATAGTTTAATTTCTAAAGCAGGAGCGAGGAAGGCGTGGGGAGAGGGAATGAGGAGAGTCCAAACAGGAGAAGGGACTTGGAGAGCAGGGGGAGGGAGCCGAGAAGACAGGGAGACCTATAGGAGCACCCCCAGGGCTGCGGGGGAGGGGGGGGTTACTGAGGCCTCTCCTGCGATCTCGCAGGGGACCAGAAAGACCACCAGGGAAGCCACGGATGGCCGCCTCCACATAATGACATGCTGAGCGCGGACTGTGGGGTTGAGGGCCACCGTTCCGAGGGACAGAGGGCGGTGCCCGCAAACTGGGGGGCGGCCGAGGGGAGCGAGGGCGGCGTTTGCAGGCGTTGTGCTGCATCCCAGGGAGACGCACGGCTTTCGGCCGAAGCAGCCACATCAGGCTCGCCCGGCAGAGCTGCGGGTACTGGCGGGAGGGAGACCGGCGGAAGGGAGCATTCTGGCCGCAGGCTGCTCCTGCGCGAGCCGGGCGGGACTCGGAGGCTGGAGTGATGTCCGGACAGGATGCTTCTCGTCACCGTCTCTTCCCACCGCCTCGCAGCTCCTAAGCGGGACCGTGAAGAACGAGAAGTCGGACCCCAGGCTGCACCTGAGAAACGACGACCGCATCACGCTGGAGGGCTCCACCAAGGAGAAGATGAACAACCTGTCCATCCTGCTGCGGGACCTGGACTTCGGCGACACGGGCCGCTACACCTGCCACGTGCGGAACCCCAAGGAGAAGGACCTGCAGCACCAGGCCACCATCTTCCTCCAAGTGGTCGATAAGCGTACGCCGGACGGGGTGCGGGGCGGGGGGGACGGGGTGCCCTTGCCGCGTTCCGATGAAGTGGGAACCTGGGCCACGTGTGGTCTGAGCCTGGAGTCAGTCCTCGGAGGCAGGTCTGTCCCCCCTCTTGCTCTCTGGAGGCCACCCTCTGGGTGCTCAGCCTGTCCCTAGGGAGAGGGGAAAGGCACCCAGTCTGCGGGCACGGCTGAGTGCCAGGCGCCGAGCGAGGCGCCCTCATGTGGCTCCTCTGCCTCCCATGCTTCTTCAAGCCCATGGTCCCGTCACGTGACAGACTCATTCACCCACTTGCAGCCCATGCTCATTGAGCCCCTGCCTGTGGCAGGCATTGCTCTGGGCGAGGCGGTAGCAGGCACAGGATGGACACGTTATTTTCTTATTTTGATACTTATTTGTTTATTATTATTTTTAAAATATATTTTTATTGATTTCAGAGAGGAAGGGAGAGGGAGAGGGAGATAGAAACATCAATGATGAGAGAGAATTATTGACTGGCTGCCTCCTGCACACCCCCTACTGGGATCGAGCCTGCAACCCGGGCATGTGCCCTGACCAGGAACTGAACCTGGGACCCTTCAGTCCACAGTCCGACGCTCTATCCACTGAGCCACACTGGCCAGGGCGAGGCAGACAAATTCTTGCCCATATGGAGAGTACCTTCTATTGGAAGAGACATCTAGAAAACAGAATAGAGAGGAACGTTCTATTGTATCAGAGAACAGGGCCAGTGTTATGGGGAGAAAGGACCATGAGCAGGGAAGCAGGTGGTGCTAGCAGGGTCGCTCGGGGAGGCCTCGCTGGCGAGGGCATCAGAAGGAGGAGGGAGGAGGCTGTGAGGAGGTCTTTGGGAGGAGAGTCCCAGCATTGGGTGGGAGGGAGGACGAGTCAGATTAGGCCAGACTCTGGGGGCTGTGTGAGGGTGGGGAGCGGGCTTCTCTCTGCGGGCTCTGAGCAGGACATTCAGTGCTGGAGGTCACTCTGCTGCTGGGCCCAGAGCAGATGGTGGCCGGTCAGGGGCTGCGACCAACATCCTCGCCAGATGTCCAGATGGCCGTGGTGGCCAGAGGTCGGCTTCCGGAATTGTCTTGGAGTTAGGGCATCGGGGTTCTCAGGGGCGTGGAGACGGCGTGAGGAACAGAGGGGTTGAGGACGCACAAGGATTGTGGTTGGAGCAGCTGGAGAGATGGGAGAGGCTGTGGGTGGGGCAGGTGATGGAGCCAGGAGGTCACTCTCCAGAGGAGAGACAGGCGAGGGGTTCCATGACCTGCTCAGGGCCACCAGCCTGGGAGTGACACTGAGACCTGCAGTTGGAAGCCGGCGGACTCCCTAGTTCTCCCGCCACGGGAGACACAGGGAATCTTAACTTTCTCTGCTCAGGGAAAGGCCCCAGAGAGAGGCCACGCTTCTCACGTGGCGCTCGGGGGTCCTGAGTCTGAATTCTTCAGAACCTGAGCCTTGGGAGGACGCGTGTGGTGGGGGGAGAGGACGTGGGGCTCCTTTGCGTGGCCCCATGTCCCAGCTTCTCTGCTCCATCCCTAAAGCTTGGCCCTGGGGGGGGGGTAGGAGCACAGGTGGACATCCCAGACACGGGTCGGAGGCTGTGTCCGCCTTGGACGGCCACCATGCTCGGCTCCGGGTGACCCCGCGCCCCTGTCTGTCCCCCTCCCCCCTCCCTGCCAGTGGAGGAAGTGGACAACACGCTGACACTCATCATCCTGTCGGTGGTGGGCGGCGTCGTTGGGCTCCTGGTCCTCATCCTGCTGATCAAGAAGCTAGTCACCTTCATCCTCAAGAAGACCCAGGAAAAGAAGTAAGTGGCTCCATCGCCGCCTGTCCCTCCACCCACTCGCCCGTGGGTGCCCCAGCATCCTCTGGGGCCACTGTCCTTCCCCTTCCATCGCCCTCCTCCTTCCATCCGCCCTCCCCCTTCCATCGCCCTCCTCCTTCCATCGCCCTCCCCCTTCCATCGCCCTCCTCCTTCCATCACCCTCCTCCTTCCATCACCCTCCTCCTTCCATCCTCCCTCCTCCTTCCATCCATCCTCCTCCTTCTATGGTCCTCCTCCTTCCATCCACCCTCCTTCTCCATTTTCCTCCTCTTTCCATCTGCCTTCCTCCTTCCATTGTCCTCCTCCTTCCATCCGCCCTCCTCCTTCCATCCGCCTGTCCCATGCCGCCTTTCTAGCCCCGCCAGGTGCTCCCGGCTCCCCGCTCCCGCACTAACCGCTCCCTCTTCCTGCCGCCAGGAGGTTTCTGTGGCGGCTGCTCAGTTCCCCGAGGGCAGGAGTGCAGCCTGGGGCTCCTCACCCCACTGTCTTCTGCCCACCCCGTTAGCCTCCCTCTTTCTACTTGTGTCGCCCTAACCCAAGGCTCTAGTCAAGGGTTTAGGAGTCCCTCCCTTTTCAAGTCGGAGAAAAGGTAAGAGTCCATGTGCAGAAGCTGCGGGGGGAGACCTTCTAGGGAGATGGGAGTGTTCCTGGGAGATTCTGAAAATCCCCTGGGAGACAAAGAAACCCACAGGGGCAGGTGCTGCCCCCTGGAGGCCCATAGGGAAGGGGCGATGTCTTCCCCCCTATTTCTCCCCCAGGGCCTCCTGCCACCCCCCAGCCCAGAGCCTCCTGCTCCTTCCACTGCTGGGGGCAGGGAGCAGGGGCTGCTGGGTCCCCTCGGCACACCGCCCGCCCCAGGTGGGCACAGCCTGGGAGGACCTGGTTAGATTCCCTCAGCACTGACACCTGCGGACAGGGCCTGACAGCTGCCTCCTGCCATGTTGAGGCGACTGGTGAGGGCCTTCCCTGGGCAGGCGCTCGCCAGCTCTTCCTGCCGCCACAGAGAAGGGGCGCTGGTCCATCCACAGACCACAGGCGGGCACAGGGACAGGGGGAGGGCTTGGCCTCTGGCTTCTTTAGCTCTTTAAAGGCCAGTGAGAGGACTGGGCATAGGGCCCACAGCCTCCCATCACTGCTCCGTCCCCCATCACTGCTCCACCCCCGTCACTGCTCCCTCCCCCATTACTGCTCCATCCCCCCCGCTCCCCTCACAGTGC